GTAGCACGCCAAGTCAAACGGAAGAGCCAATAAGATTATGCCACGTGTCAAAATGACAAGGCACGCCAAGTCAAATTAAAAGGCCAATGAAATCACGTCACTTGTGCAAGTGACATGTTCTGGCCAATCAAATGCGGCCTTGTCACTCTTTAATCTGATTGGTCGGAAAGAGTTTCTTTACATTACAACTCTTCCCTCCCACAACTATAAATATGGGTATTCATAACCCAGAAAAGATACCAGAAGTTATAACAAGAAGCAAGAGAGGTTTCGTGGATCAAATGCTGCAGATTTCTCTAAAAGCTGCAAGCATTCAAGTATTCTAAGTATTAAAAGATCAAGACGAAAATTCAAGAACAAGTTGCAAGCCCTTGGATTAAAAATACGTTAAGATTAAAATCAAGATCAGACCTCAAGTACTTGAATTAAAATAAAATAAAATTCAAGATTAAACTCGAAGGCTCTTTTATTTACTATTGAAAAGTAGAATCAGAGGATTAATAGAGATTGTACACTCATATTGTTAAAATCAAATACTACGATTGTTGCAATATTTTCGGTCTTGATTTTATTTTCTTGACCCAATTTTTTGTCTACATAAATCATATTGATTTGAGTTATAAACTTTTTATAGGAAACTTTGTGCTTAGTTTCTTTCTTCTAAATCATATAGGTTCCTTTATAAATACTGTCACACCTCGATATTTTGGTATCAAATTTTAATGAAAAAATGACACTTTATAGTCATAGTTAACATAATGGCCGNATATATATATATATATATATATATATAATTTTTGCGATTACCAAATATAAATAATTTCGGCCTCGAGGTAAAATTAATCTTTGCCCAACTTTAATAGAAGAAAGTACTAAGTCTCTCTTTTGTGAAGTCAACATTAACCAACATATATATATATATATAAAATATGTATATTTTATAAACTTTTGCGATTACCAAATATAAATAATTTCGGCCTCTGAGGTAAAATTGATCTTTGCCCAACTTTAATAGAAGAAAGTACTAAGTCTCTCTTTTGTAAAGTCAACATTAACCAACAGCGACAATACTTGTGATATAGATATACACGACGTCAACTCAAATGACAAAATAAAAAATTATGACAACTTTATATATTTATTCTTGATATGTAATATAATATCACAATTATACAACTTAGGACCGGGACATAGGGTATGCCATATTATATCTATCCAATTTGTCAACTACTTGTATTCATATTTCAATATTTGAATTTTCAGTACGGGAAGGTCCCAGGAAAATTGAAGTGATGCACGAAACCTAGAAATGGTCAATTATTTCAAATAAAATAACAAAAGTATAAGATTGCGTATTACAAAATAATCAAACTTGTGCTATAATATATTGAAAAAGAAAACTTGTACTGCAATGTTTCCGCTCGGGGTGCACATGAGTCGGGTTGGTTCGGATTTTTTAATTACCAAACCAAATCAATTGTATCGGGTTATTAAATCTAAATACCAAACCAAACCAATAAAAGTCGGGTTTTTTAATCTCGATTTTTCGGATTTTCGGGTTTTTTTGATTTTTTTTCTTCATAAAGTCTTCATAGCACAAAACGTAAAATTTGTGCTCCAAATATTTCTTTAATCCTAGTAAGACAGAACTATATAAGGTGTTTTTCAATAAAATAACATAAATATGAGATGAGTCATGGCATTGTACTAAAATATTCAACAATAAAGATAATAAAATCGCATAAAATAAATATTATTAATAAGCCATAATGAAAACAAACATAATTTAAAATTATGACTAATAAGTAATATTATTTACATGACTAACCACTAAAAGAAAAATAAGTTATACATTTTATCTAAATCATGAAAAAACTAAAAAATAGATATCCAACACTATTTTCATTCATAGTATAATTGAATTGAATATTTTTTATTAGCATTAGTATTGATTTGATTTTGGTTTAAGATTTATTTGAGTTACTAACATTTATGGACTATAAAACTTATTGGAGCATCCAAAAATTATAAGCCCAAGCTTGAAATAATACGTTAAAAGATAAAACTATGAAAAAGGTTAAGAAATATTTATAAACTACACTACCATAAATATTTTTATGTATTAAATATATTTAAAACTTCTATACATATAATATCGGGTTGGTTTGATTTCGGTTTGACTTTTTTTAATTTAAAATCAAACCAAATCAAATATGATCGAATTTATTTTTCCAACACCAAACCATAGTCGGGTTTTTTTTTCTCGGTTTGACTCAGATTATCGGGTTGATACGGTTTGTCGGTTTCATTTGTACACCCCTAATTTTCACGATTAGGGCCACTATCTTATTTTTATATTTTGGTTGTTTGACCTTTAAGTTGATAATCAAAGTTCAAACATTGAAAATAATCAGTAAAATGTGGCTCATGTCTTTTTCCAAATATTCCCACGTCTCAATAAATTAATGTACTATAGTTGCTTAGAGAACAAAGATCTCTCAATTTAGTGATTTAAATTATAATAATAATAATAATAATAATAATAATTATTTATTTATTTATTTATTTATGCAATTTTGACTTTGAAATTCATATCTTTTCACACGGCATAGGGCGGCGAAAGGAGTTGTCACCCGTGTTAAGACTTTGTCCATCATATTTCTTCTTCTTACCCTCAAATACTTAATTATTTTTAAATTGATGAAAATTACTAATAGGTTAAAAAATAAACCAGAAGGTACATGATTTTGTAAAACATTCAACAATAGTAAATACGTTCCAAACTAAGATTCGCTATTTGGAATTTGCTATATGAATCATCACTATTTTTCATTTGAATCCATTTCATTCCATTATTTATAATTAGAGATTTAATATAAAACACTAGAGCCTCTGGACAATTTCCACTAAAATAGACAACAACTCATATAAACATACTCTCATAATTAAATCTTAAATCCAAAGTGTTGCTTTTGCTAGATCTACATGAAAATGTTAAATCAATCAATTTCGAAACATGTTTTAGTATAGTAATACAAGAACAATCTATCTATCTATCTATATATATAAAGTTGGGAAAAAGAAAAGTGATGTGGCATATCTCTTAGACTAGGATTCTTATTTATCTTTTTTCTCAATTTTTTGCCTTTTTTTTTGTTTTTGTTTTTAATTTAATAAATTAGCCCAATAATGCATTTAGCTTTATACGTTACCTACTTTATTATGATCTTTAAACTACACTAATTGTAGGAATACTCATATTTATGTGTTATCTTAAAAGGTCCAATGGTCACCTTCTTAAAATACCACGCTGGATTTGTAACGTTAATAAAAAGTTGAAACGGAAAGGATAATTATAGTAGAGAAAGGTAATGAAAAGCAGTATAAATGTTAGCCATGGGAACACAAGATCTCAAGATAATTGAACGAACAAATTTTTTGCACGGATATAATAGTTCCAGATTGATCATTGTGAAAGGAGCTTAACAGCCTCAGGTAACGAATTCATCGGTATAGCTTTTTGAAGATATATATCACTTCCTAAATGATTTTTACAGTGAGCAAAATTTTGATTATCATAATTAATGAATTTTACAAACTTTTATATCAGGAAAAAAAAAGAAAAGAATACTACATGTGTGGATTGAATCTCATTTTTCCAAGGAACTTAATGAATCGAAGATCAGAAGCACTCATGATCACCTCTGAAAATATCTGTGAAGTCGCGTGACAGCGTGAGGATGGTGCCAAATGCTAAATGTTAGTTCTTTCTTCTACTCTTTTATTATCTATAAAGAGTGTAAATATTTAAATTGTATGAGGAGTTATTGAGGAACACGAGTAAGTTTGTGGAATTTATTTTGGAGTAGAAAATAGATTCAGCGTGATGAGAAAAAGAATTGGTGGTTGGGGGGAGACAAGTACACTGAACGGGAAAAAAATAAAGAAGAAATGGAAAGAAAAAGAAAAAACCTAAAAAATGAATAATAAACATAGAAAAAGAAAGGAATACTACATACGTTTTTTGTTTCACTTTTTGTCTGGGGTAACTTCTGCAAGTGGTATTAGGTTTTCAGGTAGTAAAATTAGTGTCTCTCACATTCATTGAACATTTTTATGTGAAGGTTATGTTCTTAATCAATTTGTGGTTTTATTTGTTAAGAATTAGAAGAAGTTTCAATGTTGATATAATAGGGCCATGACGCAGGAGAATCACTGGCCATTGCTAAATCTACGGCAATGAAAAAGAAAAGCAAATATCAAAGACCGATTAGTAGGATCCGATATTGAGAGGTTGATTGCGGAGAACTACAATGCACAACCAGTAAATTCGAACAAGCAATTTCATACTCACTTGAATAATATTTAAATAGTGAAGGAAGGCTGGGGGATTTCATTACCTTTTTTTCCTCAATATAATGTTTTGGAACAAATTCTCTCACCAATGTGTCCTTACTGCATAGATCTATGCTTGGTTAAAATTTCTAAACCTCCAAATTAAAATAGCAATTTGGTTGACATTCCAAAAGTGTGGCTTACCTTTTGGACCGTTCCTTGTAATTTACGTTAAATAAACCTCAAATGCTAAAACTTATTTAAGCAGTGTATCAACGACATCTTAACATAGGCGATTGAAGAGATTACAACCGCTGCGAGTTGATCGAGCTGTCTTCAAAGATAAAATATTATATTTGTGATAATAAACTTATAGAATTAATAATCATATGCTTTTAAATAAAACTTTTATTTATTCTATCTCAATTAATTAAATTCCCAAAACATCATTTATAAATTTACTATAACTGCGCGAAACGCGGACCAATTCACTAGTCAATTAATACCAAAAGTCAACAAAAAGAAAATTAAGAGCGGGTCATCGATCGACAACTCATCAAGTTTATCTTTAAAATTAAATTAGTATACTATGGTTGCTTCGAAGAACAAGTAGCTCATGTAATTGAGGCAAAAACTCTACTATAAATATCCCTATAAATCCAAATGAATTATCATACACATCACAACTTGGTTTCCTTAATCTCAATTCTTCAAAGCAATTAGAAAAATAATTAGACAAAAGACTATGGAGAAGTTAGCTCACGTGGTTGCTTTCTTGCTTCTTGCATCTCGTTAGTTCTTTTCCTAGCTACTCTTATTTTTATTTTTATTTCTTCACATGTATTTCTATTTATTGATAAAAAGGATAACTTATTTACATTATTCTTTGAACAGTCTTTCAACCTCTCATGTCTCAGTCCGATGGTTGCCCAGGTTTGGTTTTCACTCTTTTGTCTCCTGCTTCTTCCAATATTATTTTGCCTAGCTTCTTTTTTTTTTATGAAGTTTATATATAATTGTGGAAAGGATATTATTGGAGCAACAGTAAATTATCTCCGTAAAACCTATAGGTTACGGGTACGAGTCGTAGAATCAGCCACTGATGCTTACATCATGGTAGACTGCCTCATCACACCCCTTGCGGTGTCGGCGCTTTCCCGGATCTTGCGTAAATGCGAGATAATTCGTGCACTGAACTGCCCTTTATTTTATGTATATAATTGTGCTTTTCATAAAAATATCTCTCTTTGTCTCTCATTATATGTAAATTATAGGAGTGAAAAAGGAGACATGGCCAGAACTTCTTGGGGTACCAGCCAAGTTAGCAAGGGAAACAATTCAAAGGGAAGAACCAACACTAACTAATGTTCAAACTGTACTGAATGGGAGATTTGTGACACAAGATTTTAGATGTGATCGAGTTCGTCTTTGGGTTAATGTGTTGGACTTTGTCGTACAAACTCCCCGGGTTGGTTGAGGGAAAAATATTTACCCGCATTAATTAAGAAAATAAATTCTAGCCATATGGTTAATGTCTTCATGTATTAATCCATTATTTGGTGATAAATAAATGTGGCTTTTACATGTTACTATCATCCTGCACATCATGATGTAAATTTCTGCATATTTTTATTTATTTATTTATTTATTTTAATCGCTCTATTTTATTCGAAGTAAAGTATTGAACAATTGAGAATTCCCCATATTCGGGGACAAGGGGCGGAACGACCTCTCAATCTACTTACTGCAGCCCAGGAAGAAAAAAGTCGTCTAGGCGTTCCCTGTTGCTCTGGTAATTAGTGAGTATTCATATACCGGCCTCAAATTATTTAGAATTGAGGCGCATATAGTTTGTTAAGCATAGTTATAGGTTTTTTTTCTTCTTTTCACCATCTTTTTACTACTTAGCCAAATGATGAAGATCCAATGGGCTCCATCATATTTCCAAAAGTTTCAAAGGCCCATGCCAAGAGATTCACACGAAGACCTAAAAGAACTCAAATTATACACAAAGAAGACATGCAATTAAGAGTAAAGGAGCCAAAGTATGAGTATAATTTAGTTAGGGCAAGTTATATATTTAGACTCGGTAAAAAATAATTATATCTTTTAGCCAATTTACAAGAAATATATATTGATTCTAGATAACATACGTATTCTTTTTGTACATTATACATTAATATATACAAAAATATATATTTTGTCAGTTATTATTTTTAGAGCAACTATACTGTGTAGTTTTCCCTTAAGTTATCTCTTCACATGGGCTTTTGAAGTTTTTGAAAACATACTTGACGAAGAACATTGAATCTTCATCATTTGGAAGTATAAAAAATTGTGAAACTTGATTATCATATTCACACGATGGAAGATACATATGATGATAATGATACTTTTGAGTATTAAAAACTTATGGTTACAGTAAGTAATATAGAGTAAAGATTAAGATTTTAGTTTAAAAAAAGGACTTGGGCTTACAAATGAAAGATTGAAGTTATTTTTCTTTTTCTGGTGGAAGAAAATACGAAATTTCGGTTGTCTGATTTATCGTCGTTCAAGGTTTGTTTACTAGCTTCCGCATGACACATGATTTTTTGCGGTCATAACAAGTGGTATCAGAGCGAGGTTCAAGACAGGTTAATCTTAGCGGGTTTAGTTCTAGCCGCAACCTATTTGACGATAATCATGATTTTTGTCTGAGAAATTTGACCGGAGTGCTACTCTCGTTGAGACAAACTTTGCAGTGGAGATTTAGAGATGTGACCTGTTGAAGGTTATGTGAAGAAGGTGGATCAAGGTTATTTTGTCAGAAAATTCAGGCAAAGGGGGAGAATTGTTAGGTGTTGTCCTCATTTTCTAACTATATTTGATTCTCCTATTTCTTGAAGGAAAGGGTAACATATTTACCATAATTAGGTTTTCCTTCATGTAGAAGGAAACTATATATCTCCCATATTTGGCTAGTCCTTTTTCTTATAGGAAAGGATTTGGACTTCTATAAAATTGGTATTCTTTATTTTCTTTATTTTCGGGTTTGCTTCTTCCTCGACATAACAATTTCTCTTTAGAAAATTGTATAGGGTAAAATATGCTTTGACACGTGGCCACTCAAAAGAGGGACACGTGGAACCCAAGATGGGGGTATGGCAAAGACTGAAGGCAGCTGTTCCGTTTGTCACCAGAAAGAATAACGCTCATAAAGATGTGATAAATACTCTTCGTCTGGTAGCATTTAATAGAGAATATCCTGTGGCATTAAGAACGATTACTTGTTACAGAGAATTTGATATTTATGTTAACCGTTACATCTTCATCAATGACCCTCATAATTGACTTAAAGAGGGGCACAATCCTAGGACCTCCTTCCCTAGACATAGCTATAAATAGTGAGCTCAGTTATCATTAGAAGGGACGCGAATTTTCTGACAAACTTATGCTACATTCTATTCAAAGTTTAATACAATCTTATCTTCTTGCTTTTGATTTCATTGTTGTTGTGCCTCGAAACCCTGTTCCCGGAACTGCTGTTTCTGTTATTTTGTCTCCATCTCAAGGCTAAGTATTGCAAAATTCTTCAATTATTTTATTATTTCAGGATCAAATTAATTCACTTGTCTAGAAACCACATATAAATTTAACTATATCGTTTTACGAGTAAACAGTTTGGCGCCCACCGTGGGGCCTAGATAGCTGTGCGATGAAATTGATCCTTACCTTTTTTACTAACATGTTTTGATTATTTTGTCTTAGAAAAATCATAAGAAATGGCAGATAACACTGTTAACAACACGTACAATCCCGAGATTCGAGGGGATCAGCCTTATTTCGAAGACTCAATCAATGACACCCATAATGAGGGGAATGGCGCCACACCGGTGCATGACAAGCAATATCCTCGACATGTTCGGCGGACAACTTTCGATGATGCTGAGGAGGAACATGTCGTTGACGCGGTAAGGGTCTTGCAAGAGAAACAATCGATCATTATAGACAACCTCACGCGACAGGATAAGGTTATGATGGAGTTGAAGTAGGCGTTGTCGGGGGCTTCGAATAATGCGAATAAACGAGATCTGATTCCTCCTGGTTCTCTCACGAATCAAACAACACAGAGGGTCGACAATAACACTCCTAGGGGAGAAGTTGGATCCGATGGGGCTGGGGGGAGCGGATCCGGCCTAAATAACGAGAACGATCTTTTCAAGAATGAACTTTTACGATTTATGAGGGAAGTGAACACCCGCATGGACCAAATCCAGGACGCGCCGCTAGTGCTGAAATGCCTGGACTCAAAGAAGTATACTCAATTGCCATACAAGCCAAGTGCGACACCAGAGAATTAATCCCGAAGCGGTTCAAAATGCCCGATGTGCCAAAGTATGAAGGAACTTCAGACCCTCAGGAATACATTACCACCTACACAGCGGCGGTGAAGGGAAATGATTTAGCTCCTCACGAAATTGAATCTGTTTTGTTGAAGAAATTTGGAGAAACTCTCATGAGGAGAACCTTGATGTGGTATTCACTATTACCCGAGCATTCCATAGACTCCTTTGAGATGCTTGTGGACTCTTTAATCAAGGCTCATGCCGAGGCTAGAAAAGTATAGGCCTGAAAGGCCGACATATTCAAGATTGCGCAAGGAGAGTCCAAGCTACTACGAGAATTCGTTACCCGATTCCAGAAGGAGAGAATGTTGCTCCTAGCTATCCCGAATGAATGTGCGGCTGAAGCATTCACCAAGGGATTGAATCCGAGAAGTTCAGATGCTTCCTGGAAACTGAAAGAAAGCCTGCTTGAGTTTCAAGCAACGACTTGGGCCGATGTCCATAACCGGTACGAGTCAAAGATAAGGATCGAAGATGATCATGGTTTTCCATCGTCGACCAAAGGACGGGAGAAGAACAGAGAAAAATCAAAAGATAATTATGACATGGACAGACGGACTTCGAGGGGCCAATTTTTGCCCTACGAATGGACCGAAGGTTGCAGCAGAAGCTTTCGGACAGCGGACAGGTTCACCGTTAACAGAAGGACTGATCGCGGTCGGGACAATAGATCACTGCAGGATAAAGAAGCGTCAGGGTCACGGGATCCTTCTTATCCCAAGTTGTCGGAATACAACTTTAATGTGAGTATAGTGGAGTTGGTGTCAGCCATGAGAAACATCAAAGAAGCACGATTCCCGAAACTAATGAGATCTGATCCCAGCCAAAGGGATCCCAACTTATAGTGCGAATACCACGTGGTGAATGGCCACTGGACAGGGGACTGTCGACACCTCAGGGAAGAAGTGGCAATGTTATTGAAGAATGGTCACCTCAGAGAATTATTGAGTGACCGAGCTAAGAACAATTATAGTCGTAACCGGGACAATTTGGAACCCTAGAAAGAAAGAGAAGATCCCCCAAGCCAAACGATCAACATGATCTTCGGAGGGAACGAGATCAGCAGGGTCAACTTTTCGGCAGCAAAGAAGACGAAAGTATCAATAACCCATAGAAAAAGGCTCCGGGAAGACGATATCACTTTTACGGAGGAGGACGCAGACGGATTGCTACTACCACACAATGGTGCACTGGTAATTTCTTTAAATGTGCTAGATTTTAAGATTAAACGTGTTCTATTAGATACAGGAAGTTCAGCTAATATCATACAATAGAGAGTATTGGAGCAATCTAAACTCACCGGAAGCATTATTCCAGCCACAAAGCTCCTCGCCGGATTCAACCTCGTAGCATGACAACCCGAAGAGAAATTTTATTACTCAAAAACGCTGAAGGAGTAATGAAAACAACTCTCTTCGAAGTGGTAGATGGTGATATGGGATATAACATAATTCTGGGAAGGCCATGGTTGCACGAGATGAAAATTGTACCATCAACATATCATCAATTGCTAAAGTTTCCAACACCCGAAGGAATAAAGAAGCTAAGGGGTGATCAACCGGTGACAAGGGAGATGAATGCAATTTCGGTCTCCAATAAGAAAAGGAAAGGAACGCGCGACATAGAAATTATAGGAACTGACACCTGCTCTCGAATTAGATGAAGTTAGTCTGGGGGTAGAGGCGTCGGAATATTATCAGGTGCCGAGATATTTCCAGGTTCCAGAAGAGATGGATGCAATAAAATCCACAGCGGAAGAGCTTGAGCAAGTTGCATTGTTCGAAGAATTCCTAGAAAGGAAGTTCCACTCGGGGACAAGACTGTACCCGAAGCTCAGATCTGGATTTATTAAATTCCTTAAATTTAATGCCGATTATTTTGCATGGTCGCATGAGGATATGACAGGTATCCGATGGAGGTAGCCGTACACAAGTTAAGTTTGGATCCCACCATACCTCTGGTAAGACAAAAGAAACGCCCTATTGCCGAAGCCAAGAATACATTCGTCAAAGAAGAGGTAACCCGTTTACTTAATATCGGTTCAATCCGAGAGGTAAAATATCCAGACTGGTTAGCCAATATAGTAGTAGTTCCTACGAAGAACAATAAATTTCGCATGTGTGTAGATTATAAAGATCTTAATAAGGTGTGCCCGAAGGACTCGTTCCCACTGCCAAACATCGATCAAATGATTGATGCCACGATCG